CCCCAAAACCCCAAAACCCCATGTGTATGATATACATAATTGAATCGGGATTATAAAATAAACTTCTGTAAAATAATTAATGATATTTACTATTTTTAGCATTATCACTTTTTATTTATCTAAACTTTCCCGTAATGACTAAAATAAATTATCTATCTCTCTCTACTAATCAAAATAGCATCTCCAAAATGTCTAGTGTAATATATATTATCTGCATCTTTTGGCTTTTGCGTTTCATCATAGCTTAAACCCACATCATTTATTTTAAATTCTCGGCTGCTAACGTTAATGATCCGTTTGGCTGATTAAGTGTATTGCAAATCTATTAATAAAGTTTAGTTAGCAGACATTTCTATGGCCTGTTCAAACTTTATATCTGAAATGGAGTTTGGCATATTTTGAGCATTCCATTATATCTTATTATCTTTATCGAATATTCCGATAACAGAAAAGAAATCCTTACTTTTAAACCCACTAACCATATTTAAGCGGCAGTACAAACGAATCTCATTAGAATGCTCGTCAAGACCTTGAGTCATTATTATTTTCTCGCATTTATAATTGAATTTAGCTATATATTCTTCTACGCTTTATCTCTAGATGTCAAACTTTGATAAGTATCCTAATTATCTGTAAATTAATATAGAATCTCTCATATAAATAAGTCCCTGAACTGAACCATATTTACTTGAAACTTAGGATAGTGTTACTAGTTTCTCAAGTTGAATATTCACATATCCGAAATAGAGTTAACTATCCCATTTCCCATTCATCTTCATTTCAAAAGTAATATAAATTAGTCCTCTCAATTTACAAGATCTTTCTATTTTCATTTCAACTTCCTAACCATATTACTCCTTTAATATTCTATTTAAATCGACTTCTATTAATCCTTTGATGTCATCTTTTCCAAGCAAAGTAATAATTAAACTTTGTGCAACAATCAATCCGGTTATCAATTTTTCTTTCACAAACTGGTATGTATATCTGTTTTAGTTTAATGAGCATGTGTTTATTAATTATGGAAGTATCTAATTATAATACTTTCTAGAAAGATTCTAATATTTCGAAAGGGATTCTGAGTCAAAATATAAAAATATTTCTATCAAAACTCCTAAAGAATTCAATGAAATTTATGAGTTTTTATTTATTTTCTATTACTCCATTTCTTAAATTAGAGTTATTATATAATAATTCAAATAATTTAGTTTAATTCAGTAGTTTTTTATTTAAATGTAAACTTTTGATTCAATAATTCTATAATTTTTTCAAATTTTGAACAAAGGGGTTTTGGGGTTTTGGGGTTTTGGGGTTTTGGGGTTTTGGGGTTTTGG